TTGAAATACAGCTACGAACATCTGCTTTATTTTTTGACAAAGCAGAATCTCACGTATACCACTCTCCGGGAATCTGGATAAAAAAGGATACGTGTGTTGTTGTTGGGTTCACTGGTGGGATGTACTCCTTCCCTATCAAACATTTATCGTCTTTATCTGTCCTTCTTCTTTTTTGTATTGGTTACTTTCTAACTAGAAACACCTGTAATCTTCGGGACTTATATGACCTAGATGGAGAATCTAACTGTGTTGCAATCAATGCCGTAAACCACACACGAAAACTAAGAACAAAATATAAGACTTGAATCGTATTTCATTTTTTTACCATTCTTGAACTCTGCTGGTAGTAACTAGCGCTGGTCGCCAAGCAATAAGGCCACAGAACTCGTAAACGTGAAGTTCCACCTGTAATCTTCGAGACTTATCTGACCTAGAAAATATAACTGTGTTGCAATTAATGCCGAAAACCGCATACGAAAACTAAGAACAAAATAGCAGACTTGTTTTGTATTTTATTTTTGCCAATCTTCAACTTTCGTGGTAGTAACTGGCGTTTCTCGTTTAGCAATCAGGCCACAGAACTCATGGGTGTGAAGTTTCAGGTTTGGGATTTTAACCCTATCCGTACTTCCTGTTTTACTATCGTATCCATATGACGTGGGGAACTCGGGGCCACCACTTTCCAAACAGAAAATTTACTAGTTAATCCGATCAGTGCGCTTTGCATAGGGGTCTGGCAAAATGATTTTTTTAATGAAATAATGGATGTTTCAAAGAAATCCTCGTACTAGAAGTATTCTCAAATGTGAAGAATACAACCCCGGGGGTACAAAATGACCCCATGGCGTACGGATAGGGTTAAGCTCAAGCTCGGTCCGACGCTGCGACCTACTGACATGAATAGTTCCATTTGGCTCCGTCCTATTGGTGATAGACACTAAGTTCGGTGTTTTCGCCTACACAACATATTTTCAGCATTGCAGGGAGTGTTAAACCTGTGCGATTTTTTTCTTGAGGGATGTATAGAGAGGCAATGTCTGTTTTAGAGTACCCCCCCCCCCACCCCCACCTTTGAATAAAAAAGAAACAAAAAAACCAAGCAATTTGGTATCTGCAATTGAACGCCTTCCACGCTATCGTTCAATTTTTCTTGACGAGAAATCGATCAAGAATAAATATGGGACAGTTAGACGATAATTTCTTTGCCTTGAAACATTTTTCATGAATTTTTTATCGAGAGCCCCCGGAAAATGTTATGGAAACTGCAATAAAGTTTCGGTAGTTTTTGGTCCCTGAAAAAAATTGTACTTGGTTGGCATGGGGTTTAGTGAGGTTTGTTCCTTCTTTCCAATCAAACATCTACCGTCTTCCTCTCTCCTCCTTCTTTGTTATGTTTGTTGCCCTTTTGTAACACCTCATAACTCCGGTACTTATAGTATGACCTGTTTGTGTCGCATGCAATTTCCGTAAAACCCTTACTAAAAAAAAAGCAAAAAAGCAAACTACTCGTATACTATTTTCAAAAGGAACAGCCAAAAAAATGCCAAGAATAACCACCTACTAAGAGAGCTTGAACGGACGGAAACGAGACAAAACCAAGATAATGATTATAATATTATAAGCTATTATTTTCATTCTGTTCTATTATTTTCATTTTGTTATTTCTTTTTTACAGTATTATTTCATTTTTATTTTATTATTTGATTCTTATTCAGTTATTTTATCTTCATTTTATTATTTTATTCTAATTTTATTAAATCAATTTTTTAGATCTTCTTAAACGATAAAAAAGTAAGCAAACAGTGATTGCCTGCCTACGTCCTTTTCAGATCGTGAACTTGCAGAAGAAAAAAAAAGATATCTGCCTGACGACAGAAAGATGCCAGCACTGTTGTGTGTGAGGTGCATCACCAAAACACCTCCATCCCACAGACACGTAGCGAGGAAAGGGAGCTTTGTGGCGTCCGATACGCTGGAGTTCTGTCTGCGAGCATGCGCCTTGTGGTGGCTTCCATTGCTCATGACGTCAGTTCCGGCAGTGGCGACTTCCGGAGTACAGAAGAACATCACAATTGGCGTGATGCTGTCTATGTCTGGGCCCAAGTCTCTGGGTGTGGAGGCGAGGCGGGCTATAGAGCTCAGTTTTCAGGTTGGTTTGTGGAGGAAAAGGATGCGGGAGGCAGGAACAAAGAGGAGAGAAGGGAGGGGGAGGGAGAGAGAGAGAGAGAGAGAGAGAGAGAGAGAGAGACAAAGAGATACTGACAAACAGACAAACAGACAGACAGACAGACAGACAGACAGGGCAGACAGACAGACAGACAGGGCAGACAGACATACAAACAGACAGACAGACACACAGACACACAGACACACAGACAGACAGACAGTAGATAGACAGATAGACAGACAGACAGACAGACAGACAGACAGGACAGACAGACAGACAGACAGACAGACAGACAGACAGACAGACAGACAGACAGGTTTATAAACGGACAGACAGAAAGGAAATAATATGTCTAAAAATATAAAAGGACAAACGGCGAAGAGAGAGCAAGAGAGAGAAAAAGAAAGAGAATATAAAGAGAGAGGGGAGAGGGGGGAGAGAGAACGAGAGAGAGAGAGAGGGAGAGGGAGA